CAACACTCTCTTGCTGTTATTTATGACTTAGTGTCGATTTCATATAAGTGAATTTACATAGTAATTGTATATAAAATATTCTGTAATTCCGTCCGGTTGATATTTTTAAAGTTTAACGACATGTAAATGAACTGAAAGGAATGTATTGACGTAACATCATTAGTATTACATATTTCCTATGTAAATATTATTCAAGACTTTTTTGCAGTTTTTTTTACACAAATGGATATCTCTGCTTATCTCTCTAGGTTAGCGTCGTGTCATTAAATATGATAATTAACGTTTTTGTATTACAAAAATTAATAAACCTTATTATTTCGTTAAAATAAGATTATAAAGCTTCCAACGGCAGCATTTTAGCGCTTCAAAGACCTAAAATGTTGACAAACTTCAACGTTGTATATTGTAGTTGCAAACTATCAAAGGCTTTTAGACATTTTACATATCGATTTTAATCTCAATATTTGAATTTCAAAATTCCTATCACTTGAAATATATTTTCAACTAAAACGTCCACTAATGGTACCTTGTAAAAGATTTTCGACGATTTAGATAAGAATTTCTTTATAAAAATTCACTCACTAATCGCTTGTATATAAAATCACTTAAAATATTATCCATTTAAATGACCCTAAAACTAGTATGTGAGTAATATTTTCGTAAAAAAAAAACCTTTCAAGTAAGTTAATATCAAATTTTAAATTTAGATTAATTCCGAAATCGATTTGTCGATCGATTTATAGATTTTTTTGTAGCAAAATAAAACTTAAATGACGCTAAATGGACGTTAACAGATGGTATCCAGTTTTGTCTCGAACGTGGTTAAATATGTTAATTTATAGAGGCTGATAAAAATATCTTTAGAATGGTTATAACATTTATTTAGTACTAGCTGTTGCCCGCGACTACTTACACGCAATGTTACGATAAAAAGTAGCCTAATATGCCGGTCTATGTCAGCTACTTTTCACTGAAAGTCAGGTCGACATCGGTCCAGCCGTTTCGGAGATTATCCAGAACAAATGCGGCTTGCGGACAGACAGACAAAAAAAAAATGCGATTGTCGATATCAGCAACGCAAATACATCATCTTTCCCAAGTCGGGAATTTTTTTTAAATATTACAAACAAACACTCCAATTTTATTATATGTACATATTGATTCGTGACGTCAATAGTTTAACATAGTTGAACTATTATTGATCAATCTTTATGTTATTGTGTTACGATATTTACTTAGGAATAGTTGTCTTTTATCTGAATATCTAAATATTGAAATCATCTATTTTGATATTATACTGAAGGAGAACTTTAGTTTCGAGTAAGGAGCTATTTTGTCCATACTAATATTATAAAGAGGAAAGATTTGTATCTAAATAACTCAAAAACTACTGAGCCGATTTTAGAAATCTTTCACCGTTAGAAAGGTAATTTATCTGTGAGTAACATACGCTACTCTTAATTAGTTATTTTTTAATTTCACGCGAAGGAAGTCGCAAGCAACAGCTACATATTATAAGATGGCTAACGATCGAGCCACCTGAATTTGCCGAAAACTCGAAGCGATATCTGCCCATAGACATCCACAATTTTAGATGCGATAGCTAACCATAAATGACAGAGAAAGACGAACAAAACCAGGCTTATTCAGGAAAAGGAAAAGGGTGGGAAGAAAGGTGGCCTAAAATGATGCCTCAGCCACCCAAACTCATCAGACGAAACGCGGAATTACTCTCACTTTAAGCCTATCTTCTGTGTGGTTGTGGTATTACAGCGAACTAGCCGGCCTATTCATATAAAGATGTTAATAAACCCTCCTGCAAGTCGGAAATCATTTAGATATGTTATTGGTAGATTTGTAACGATAAGTATACTCTTGTTTAGAATACTTTTACGTTCCAAGAACTTTTTGTTTTCCCTTAATTATCAAGGACGATGCCACATGTGTATTTTACTTCAAAATTGATTACAATACCGAAATTTAAGTGTTTACAAATATAGTTTAGGGACAAAAATAACCGATTCCAGATACAAGAATAGATTATAATAATAGTTTTACAAGCTAGGTATGTACGATGTTTACTATTGAACACGTTTCTTAATTTGTACTGCCTAAATTACCTAATACACTCTTATTACTAAGACAATAGGAGCTAGAATCGATTGATTTAATAATTTCGTCTGTATGTAATTAAATTGTTTGATATTTGTTTTCGAGGACAACGCAAACCGTTGCGGGGTATCCGAGAACGTATAACAAAAAGCGTAATTGTATAAAATCTGGCCGGTTTTTTTTTTAATAACATGTTTTAACGGCACATGTGGCACTACCACATGACCACATGTTGTGGTTACTCTTCCTATAATACCTAGAACCGTGTTGTAATATTATCGATTTATTTTAAGGTTTTAATCGATTTTAATCGTGTAACGTTCAAGGTTGCGGGATCTCCTTGGTGTAAAAATATTCTTGTACATAATTTTTTTAGCACCAACATCGTACTAATCATACTTCACACTAATATTATAAATGCGAAAGTTTAGTTGGATAGATGTTTGTTAGAGTTTGTAGCCTAAACGGCTTGACAGATATCGATGAAACTCGGTATAGATGTAGAGGAAAGTCTGGAAGAACACATAGGCTACTTACTCACTAGTATTTTTTTAATTCGGACGACGACGGAATCACGGGCGATAGCTAGTTTTATTGTAATGTATACAGACGATGTATCGGCTTAAAATTATTCTATAGTTGTATTAATTCTATCTTGCTAAACTATATTGCTTCTGATTCTGTTGTGTACAATGAAATACTAAAAAAATATATAGCTAGCTTTTATCCGTGACTTAAACACGCAGATAAAAACTTACTAGCCTATTTTTTCTACTAAACTCTGTTCTATATCTGTGTCAAATTTCATCAAGATTTGTTTTAAATATGCATAGCAACAAACATACTTGTATCCAAAAATTATCATGTTAAGAGTAAACAGTTTTCGAATCAATCAAAAATATCCTTATTAGGAGATACAAATTTTACATCGTGAAAGCGAGACATCGATTAATCGAAACTGTGTGCTTGCTCTGACCAAACTTAATAGCCATGCCGGGTTTAATTTAAAAAAAAAAAGGACAGAGAGCATCGTCCGCCGCCAGATCACCTATGATTACGAGGGTCGCACCCCTATTACATTAATATGCCGAACCCTTTGGCTCGATTCATTATTTCTAAAACCTACCTACGTGCTCCGGCATTCACCTTGGGTTATTTTTTTATTCCTTTCCTATTATTTCATAGTGTGACGCGTTGCCTCGCTTTATTAATGATCGCCTGCATATTCTTGATACTTAAATTAACCGAGATTTACATTAAAAATTTACCTATAGTACGATCCAAAATGTCTTAAGAAATGTATTTCATTGATGATTTAAATTCAAAAAAATACTTATAAAACTAAAAAACCATAATTACAGTTCCATAACTAATATCGCATTATTATTACAATTGTGTAAAGTAATGTTTAATGCGTTATTTAAATTATATTTTTTTTTTCGATTTATCAATAAATATTCTCTTAGTTGTGTTACAATTAAAACTTCAAGTATCAAGACGTGCAGTTCATCGTAAGTTGCCCCTACAGAGCAATGCACAGCGCTTCCAGCATGACGTATCACCTATGCATATTAATTCAGCGTTTAATTCCGATAATAATAATACACGAGTGAGCCCCAACTCTTTGTTTTACTGCACAACCCTATTATGAAACGTTCGAACGCTTTCGTTACGTATAGGATCAAGTTACTTTAATCGTGTGAAATACATGTTCTTTGAACTTTAAGTTTAAAACATACTTTCAAAATCAAAATCAAATAAAAACGCACTAAAATATCTCGTCGGTTATTGACCTTTTTTATTCATTTACATACAAATGTATATTTGACGTCATTAATTCGCTATATTATTTTTAAATATTTCGATAACATTTTAAATAAAGCATCAAAGTAATTCTCTTTTTTTAGTAAGTGGATATTACGTTAGAATTAATCTTACATGTGTCACTAATATTATAAATGCGAAAGTTTGGATGGATGGATGTTTGCGAGTTTGTAACCTTAACAGCCTAACGGATCTTAGTGAAATTCGGCATAGATGTAGAGCATAGCCGGAAAGAACACATAGGCTACTTTTGTTGTGTTAATTCTATGTGAACGGAGTCGCGGTCGAAAGCTAGTTTACAATACATTTAACTACCGTTTTCCTCATATTTTCCTTGTATCTAGAAATGTTTAGTTTATTAGTTTACCATCTGTTTTTTCCAGGTTTTAATAAAGACTAAATATTATTCGACCTTTGTATTTAGATGCAAAAACTTTATGTACTAAAATTAAAATGCAAATCTTTTGCGGAAAATTTATAAGTGTCTTTAAAACTCGCTTTTAATTATTTTAGAGTTTACGAGTGAAGATATCTTTGTTTTATTACATTTAATATGAAGACATAATGTTGTGCTTTGATAATTTGCTAGATTGCGTATTTGGTTTCGTGAAATATTTTCATTTACTTATTATTAAATGCAGCTTTCGAGAGGTCACTAATGTGTAAGAAATAATTGCATTTTAGTATACAAAGGTAACAATATTTTCGAACGTACAAATATATCTTTACTAGCTTTCGCTCGCGACTCCGTCCGTGCGGAATTAAAAAAAAACAAATGCAAGTAGCCTATGCGTTCTTCTAGACTATCCTCTACATTTATGCCAAATTTCATCAAAATCTGTTCTGCCGTTTAGGCTACAAACTCTAACAAACATCCATCCATCTTAACTTTCACATTTATAATATTAGTATGAAGTATGATTATTTACAGTATTTTAGGTTTTTATTACAATTTTTATAGGATTCAAGTTTTAAATAACAATTTACTAAAAAGATTAATTAAAAGAAATTTAAACTATTTTTGCAGAAGTTTTCGTTACCTATCATAAATAAAAGAAGAAATTATGTCATTTGTCAATTCACTCATTAATTCCGGTAAAAACATGTGTAAGTAAATATTAAAAATAATTATAAATATGAAAACAAAAAAGTGAAATGAACTACCACGCGTGACACCAGACAGGGGTTTACGCAATGTACGATTTTTGTTGCAGCAATTTATTAATTTGTTATGATCCAAAATACTTAGAACAAAGATCTGATAGCTCCAAAATTGACAGAAAATCCGATATGTACATATCAAAATGGAAAAAGCGAGAATTTCTAGTCACGGATAAACATCACAAAGAAGCGGCGACGCATAAAAATTGGAAGTTTTCAAAAGAGGACAGTTTAAATTGTAAAATGAAAATGAATAAAGCGATCAACGGCTTGTCTAGTGTTACGAGCAAAACTCAAACTTACATCCCAGACACGAGCGTTGAGAAACTTTTGAACTGTTTTAATTACGAAATAGATCCCAGAGCGGATTATCACATCAGTAATGTTCACAAAGGTAGCAGCACTATGGTACAAAAAAGTTCAAATTTTTTAAAAAGATCTCAAATTTTTCCATGTTTGTCAAGTATTTTACAAAATCATAAAAAATGCTGTCGAACTAACGTAAAAAATTTATCAGTAGAAGCATATAGGGAGCCTTATTGTGCGCGTTGCGAAAAAAGAAGGATGAAATGCATAAGTAAGAAACGATACAAATGTGCGATGCGAGCTCCTTATTACGTAGACGAAGATGTCAAGAGACCGGATTCCTGTCGATCGGACAGACATCGGCATTCAGTGTATTACAATCCTAAATTAATAAAAAATCCATTTTCAAGAAGCAGTGCCAGTAGCCACACTTCATGTGATTCAGAGTATGAGAATATTTCTCGATATTGTTACAAGAAGAGAATGCAAAAATATATTTTAAAGGAACGTGAAAGGAATAAAAAAATGAATAGAAAATATTTCGGTAACAAGAAACAACAGTGTTATTCTAAAGTTGAACGATTGTTACCATATCAAGTAATCGCTACCCCGTTTTGGGAAGAAGAGAAAAGTTATGATTCAAATTCAACTCGTTGCAGTGCTCTACCGTCGACATCTTCCGGCTTTTGGGAATATCTTACAGACAAAATTACTAGAAAGACCAAAGACGGTGATCGTACTAAAAGTTGTAAATGTGGACAATCTACATCATTCATTTCGAGTGTAACTGGGGATCCGGAATGTTTGAAAGTAGCTGAGAAAATGAGTGAAACGGAGAAAAGGGTCAATGCGATATTAACAAGTCCGGCAGATAACATGGAAGAATCATCGAAAGATGCACGTTCTAAAAACTGTACATGTGATTGTAAAAAAAATAAAACAGAAACCTCCACCGTACCACCGACTAAAGATGTACAAACATGCTCGCGTATCAATACACCTTGCAACAAATGCAATAACGAAAAGAATAAAAATGACAAACGTTCAAAAGATTCTGACGATCCTAAAGCAAATAAAGGAGATCAAAACTCGGAGCCATGTCGAGCGCCGCACGATGAGGTTGTTTCAAAACTAAAACAGAAATACAACGGTGAAGTATTATGCATTCATAATCCTCCATGCATTCTAATTAACGGTTGCCTCAATTTGCCTACAGCGAACGCAAATCAGAAGCCTCCAGTGGCTGTATGGCCAGTGAGTCAAATGAAGAAAAACAGTAGTTACAATTTCTGTAAAAGAATTTGGACTCCAAAGGATAAAGCGGGTGAACAATATGAAATTTACAGTGTACCCTATGTTTCGTCGAGTGAACGTCAAATACCATTGACTAAGAAAGGAAACAATAATTTTAATCAGAAACCTATTTGTGAATTAGTAAAACTGTCTTGTAAACCCAAATACGGTGTCACAGCGGTCAATCCTCGTGTCCATGTGGCGATGCTTAGGAAACAGCCAAAATGTTTAGACCCGTCAGATAAGAAACAGAAATCTAAATATTCGCAAGCCGCTAACTCACCGAAAAAAATAATACTGCATCGTGCCAAGAACAAAGTTACAGGATTCTTACAATCAAAAACAGAAGTGGTATGTAGTAAAAAATCATACTTCATACTAATATTATTATTGCAAAAGTTAAGATAGATGGATGTTTGTTAGAGTCTGTATAGCCTAAACTCCTGAACAGATTTCGATGAAATTTGGTATAGATGTAGAGTATAGTGTGGAAGAACACATAGGATGCTTACTTTTGTTTTTTTTTTAATTTCACGCGGTCTTAGTCGCGGGTGAAAGCTAGTTTAATATAGAAAAACCTTACAAATCATACCCTTTACTGTATTTCTTTAGTTTTTTTGTCATTTGTAGGAAAATCATGACATAAACTAAGAATTTACCAGCCATTGATCACCTTTCTATTATATTACTATGGTAGAAAGAGAGGTCAATAGATTATTATAGTAGTTAGAACGAAATGCAGAAGTTCTTTCCATCTGTACAGCAGTTGCAAGTGAAATGAAGGTTGTCAAACCTTTCAGCTCATCCAATATCTTAGCACACATATGTACATGCAATGGATGATAATTTACTACTACAGCCTGAGGCCTAATTTTAGTCCCGTTCCCTTCTACACTTTTCTTAAGAGGAAAGAATAGGAAGGGAAAGTGGACTTGACGGTGAAGGAGACGCATAGGAAGGGGAAATGTCCTCTATGTGCGTTTTCTTCTACGTCAATTAAGGGGCCTACCCTAACGCCTCTGGAATTGCGGATGTTTATTGGCAGCGGTCGCTTTCCATTTTGGTGGATTCAAGTGGTCGCTTGCTTGTTTGCCACTTCATAATATAATTTTTTTTTTTCAGTTGTATCCTGTTGACCACGATGAAAAGAAACCAGGTGCTGTACCTGTGTACCACAAGAACAGATTGCTGAGGATGATCCAAGTCAAGCGATCTGCCACCAAGTGAGCGCCGCTAGCGGCGAACGCGCGCACCAACGGACATGTCAACTTACCACAAATAATGTATAGACAAAACAATAAAGTTGTAGACAAACGATTGGTTTCATTTGGTTAGTAAGTTTTTAAATCGTTTATTTTGAAGCCTTACTTATTTTACCGAATTAATTTGTATTTTTCAAGTCATTCGTATTTCTAACTGTGTAAGTGTTCCGTGAACGATGTTTTGCACTTCAAACAGTAATTAGTTACACAGACTGTCTGTTGTCAATTTGTATGGAGGTTGCGCTCCATCCGTGAGGGAATGTGACAAGCTTCGCGGATATCTTATTTGCATTGAATACTTTGAAATACAAACGTTGAATTACTTTGATGATTTAAAATTCGACTGTTTTAAACGCTTTTTTTAACTAGTGATCTTCAATCTTTTGCTTTGTATTTCATTGAAAGCATTGTTTTATATTTTTAGGGTATAGACCTTTTGCGTCTTCTAATATTCTATGAAAATTTCACCATTTGAGTGTAAAGAATGTGTAGAAGAAAAGTACACAAATAATAATTCTTATTTATAAATATTTACAACGCATCATTCTTAAACTACTGGTATGTCGAACTGTTTGTCCGACCCTACCAATACCGACTTGGTTAGAAAAATTTCCTAATCTATACGTGCCGGAGTGAGGAATTTTATCATTTCAACCGTCTAAATGTTGGGAACCAGTTATATACTTGTAAATAAAAAAAACCACCCACCGATTTAGAGGAAATTGAACTTTACGAGTGGACGATAAAATCAATTTTCGATTAATGATCAATTAAGAGTTATAGCTTTACAATATTGGAGGCATAGTGATCAGAAGCTAATGAGCAAAGAACATTGAACCCGACGAGTTTCGGTCGCCGTGTGCTTTTGGTATTCAACTCCGCTGTCAATAAAAATAATTCACATTTCTACATAAAGTGGTCACGATAATTCTATGTCGACTCATTGTTAGATGGATTTAATTCTGGTTGTCATGTCAAACACCTTATCATGAATTTCCACTTTACCACATGTACAAAGCTAAGCAATTTTATATCTTCTTCGAAGTAAATCACTGTTGTGTACTATCATGCCAGAGCAATCCGATCCAAGCTACCGAAGCAGCGGATGTTACCAGTATACATTACAGTATATATGACTTTCAATATTGGTGTCATAAAAATTGTAGGTGTCCAAAAGTGCACTTTTCTTTTTGTTTACCACTTGTCCACTATGTAAACATGTATACAAAAAGTGCCAGAATAGGGATAATATTGTTTTCGTACATGTTTCGAAATGAAAAGTAAATAACTAAACTTAACCCTAATGTTTTCGATAGTACTAGCTGCTAACAAAAACCTATGTTACTTGATACTAATGTAGTTTTGTAATGGTAAAAGATTTTTTTAAATCGGTCCAGAAATTTTACGAGTTTTACGTTACAAAGATACAAATCTTTCTATTTAGTATTAGTATGGAATAACTGTTGCTCGCGATAAGGTTCTCATGATTTTACAAAAAAATTAGTATAAAAACATAGCCTACTAGCTTTCGCCCGCGACTCCGTCCACGTGGAATTAATAAAACAAAAGTGAGTAGTCTGCGTGTTCTTCCAGAATATCCTCTACATCTGTACCAAATTTCATCGAAATCCGTTCAGCCAGTTAGGCTACTAACTCTAACAAACATCCATCAATCCATATAAACTTTCGCGTTTATAATATTAGTATTTTTAATATGATGTGGTACTGATAACATAGCTTTTTAAGGGTGCAAGAATTTTAGAAATAGACCCGGTAGTTTTTGAGTTATTTCAATACGCACAAAAATACAAATCTTTCCTGTTTATATAATTAGTATAGGTGTGACAAAATCCTTGACCTCTGCCTTCCTTTCTACATAAATATGGTTATTAAACTCATTAAAGTTGTAGAAACAAGTTAAAATGTCCAATAAAACCTGGCGTCTTAAAAATAGAATGTAAATCATTTTATTAAAATTAATTTCGTGAAGTTGTATAATGGCGTTTATATGAATGAGCGATTTCCACGAGATTCACCGCGGACATAAATCGTGATTACAAATTCGTAGGTGGTTTTGTTACGGACGCCTCACACGGAGTTCGTAACCGTCTCTGTTTTATGTACAGACATATACATAAGTGGGAAAAAGACAGACGAATGTATCGTTTACGCCCATAGGCAGGCCGTTTTTATAAATCATAGCGGAGTTGCGTCTCCGGCACGAACGCTGTCATAATAAATATCATCGGAACTTTCTAAAAACCACCAGAATCGAACCCACACTGCTATCTGTATGCTAATAGGCAAACGCCTACGTCTTCGCCTACGAATGTATGCTAACGATATGACGATGCATGTAAATCTATTAGTTGAGTGAGACATCAAATCAGATTTTTAGTTTGGTATTTTATGAATACATTAAAGGCTAGTGAGGAGAGCTCGGCGGTGTAAAGGTTGAGATAGGCTTTTATTGCTCTAATTTACAATTGAGATACGACTTGAACTAGTGTTTATGACTTTAACACTCTAAATGTCACGAGCGTTTCGAATACAATTTGTAACGAAAACAAATTCCATGTTCAACAGTAAACCACATTGAATTTAGGTATAACAGGAAAAAGGATGAACTAGTTTTAGCGCATTCTAAAAATATACTTCATGCTTCATTACTCAAACACTTGAAGTTTCAGTAATTAAATTGTATTATAATTATTAGGTAATTTCTTCTGCCAGTCATATGCAGAGTCGAATAATGGTAATTACTTAGTGGAGATTTTTATATTAAATCTACACTAAGGGTATTTAGAGACCATCGATTATGGCAGTAAATTGTATTTAACTTCAAAATGTTAACAAATACACGTTTGTGATTTGTTGACAGCCCTAAACCAGTTTCTGTTCTGAAACGCAGTATTATACGGATTCGATAGATGGCGCTAAAATAAATTACTTTTTTCAACAAGTTTTCGATTTATTTTTCCATGTAATGTCCAATCCGATGTTAATATTTTCTCAATTAATTGAAAAAAAGTGTTTGAAACTCACTGTTATTTGGGTAGACTGACCAGGAATATAAAAAACCTCGTCGATTTTCTATGAAAAATGAAACTAATTTATTTTATCACAATAGAAAGTGATATAAAGTAGCCGATTGTAGCGCTCCTAGCCAGGTTTTTTACATTCTTAGTTGTATGAATTATAGAAATAACTGGGTATAATGAGGTTATTAGTATTTGGTTCGTTTGTTTTAAACAACAAACTCGAACAAAGAACAGTAAGGAAATACAATGTGTTTATTGCAGTTATAAGACTGAACTAAAATAATTAAATAAGACGTCAGAAGGAAATCTTAATTAATTAGACTGAATACGAAGAAACGGACCATCCGTATCATAATTAAGTGCATGTCTGTTCTTTTATGTATTTTTATTATGACTTTTTACGAACGACATCGGAATACGGCCCCGAGTCGAATCTGGCTTCAACATAAAACATAAATCTCTTTTATTGTATTTAAAATTAATGCAATCCGTGTCGTTAATGTTCGAAATTATAAATATTTGGTAACACGCTTTATTTGACGTAAAATATTTGCGATTAAATGATTGGATGGTGTATTAACGAAGAAAGGATGCATTAGGAAGAGGAAATGTCCTCTTTCTGATCGTCCCCTCCTCCGATTAAACATCAAGACATCTGCAATTACGAATGTCTGCGGGGTTTATCGCTTCGGCATTTCGGCGAATTCAAATTACCGCTTAATTGTTTGCTATATGCTATTGAAATTTGATATTCATCGAGAAAACCTGTGATCAGCGGAAGTATGTAATCTTTACATTGGGTAAAGGTCGTGGGGTTGATTTAAAGCCTAGTTTACATTATGCCAGTACTGTAGGACAGTCCCGCCTGGGCTCTATTATTTGGTCTAACTGGCGACAATCAGGGTGTACAGTATGCTAACGTCGATGTTGAACACTATTGTCCGACTGTTTTGGCATAATGTGAACCAGGCATTATACTTAATGTTTCTTTAATAAAAACAATTATTTTATTAATTCTATTAATTTAGATAATTTTCTGGGAAGATGCTTCTATACAAAACTACTTAAATTTACAGCCGCCTCTATTCTGCAGACCTTATTTGGTTTTGCGAACGGTCCTTTTTGTGTAAATATACCTACTGCGTTGTCCTGTGAGGCTATAATGTAAAAACCTAGGTGTTCTTATATGAAAATGAATATCACTGGACCTAACACAAAAAGCTAGTAAGTATTCGTAACGTCATCGACATGATTTGTATTAGATTTGTGTGATTAGGCTTAATATACACCAATGTTGACTTTCTCTCAAGCTTTCGTGCTAGGCCCCCAATATCAGTAGGGACTATCTCGAAACACTCCCACAGTACGATGGATGAAAACGCCTCTAACAGTAGGTAGTGTAATATAGTAGAGAAATACATTACCTGTTTAAAAAAAAAACAATTTCTTCACAGTTTCAATGTTTATTTGATCTAATACGAAGTACATTTTTAAATGCAAACATTCCAAGTTTCCCGTTCTATAAAAATTAACAATGTAATTAATTTAGAAAAACAGCCGAATTAATTATAGAATCGTAAACCACTAATGAAACTAAAAAGTTTAATGGCACTACTAAAATAAATTGATTATATCTGTCTTACGTTCAAAATTTTTTTTATATTTAAATAAGTTACAAAGCCGATGATTTAAAATTTTATTACAGTCAGAGATTATTTTAAAAGGAACTTTAATTATAATTACAAACGGTCTATCATGAAATGTGGGATTATTCCCAACCCCGTTCTGTCCCCATGTAAAGACAGATGAGGATAAAGTTTCATCCGTCCCACCTTTTACGACGAGGGGACGGTTAGGACTTATTTTATTTTATAAGTTCCATCTGTCATCTTATTGGTGATATTAGGACTAGAAGGTGGGACGGATGAAACTTTTTTCGCACGTGGAGACAGA